AAGAACTAAGAAATATTCAGGTGTGGTGTCCCTGAGACCACTTATGTGCATGAAAATCAATCCCTTGAATCTCCTCTTAGATAAGAAAAATTAAATAATATGCACTAAATGTTTGTGAGATGCATCCTCACAAGTTGGATTTTCTAGGTGAGTGATTAAAAAAACTTAACTACAATGCCAACAGAAAGGATTTTAAATAGTTTCTTAATCCTGATTTCACATCAGGAAGAGGCTGAAGTGCATCTTTTCACTAAATTTCATTTAAACACTCTGCTGGGATTTACAGGGATATGCACTGAGGATATGTATCTTCTGTTATCTGCACAGCATGAATGTAGGGTCACTAATGTTTTGCATCTAAGTTCTACACAGTATCATAGAATTTCCTATTTATACGCAAGAGGGAATCTACTGTCAGAAAAAAAATGTTACTTATTTTTATCTCTAGGTCATCTAAGAAACTCAAGGGCAATTCTAAGAAACCTGAGGTAAAAGTGTCAACCATGCACTCTGCTTCCTTTTATCCTCTTAAGAACCTCCCACAATGCAAAGCAGCCCTCAGGCTCAGGCTAAAATTCCAGGCTTAGATGAGAAGACCCATCTCCTTCTCACTAAGACCTCCAGTAGGGCATGGTTGTCCTGGTTATTCTCTTCAGCCTGGTAACATTTCCAAGCTCTACGTGTTTCAGGATTTCATAAAAGAGACACAGGCATGTCATCTGTGGGATGCATGTATCATGATTATTGTACCTGTTCCCAGGATTCCTGTCCCAGGCACAACTGAAGGAATAAGGAACTGTTGTATTACAGCACTCACAAACCCTTTCCCTCACCTGGACTATCTGTAGATTCTCATTATGTAATCATAAGGTAAGTTGGGTATGCCAGCCTCCAGGAAAGTGTCTGAAGTGGATGTGAAGAATCTGGAGTGGAGGAAGCACACATTATAATTCTGATCTGAAATCCCAAGTCAACATCAGCAGGGACACCTCCTGTTGCAAGAATTCTAACTGTACTTAATGATAAAGGGCCTGAGTCAGCTACCATGGGCAAAAGCTGAAGGATCAGAAAAGCAGAGTATTCAGCCATTAGAGAATTCTCACCTCTACCAATGCTAAAACCAAATGGGGAAGGTCCTGTCTCTACAAAGCCTCTGACTGAATGTTGTCTCTCCCAAACCTCAGACTGGATATAAGCTCTTGTCTCCTCCTGTCTTTAATTCCTCTCTCTGCCCAGCCATATCAAACCAGTCTCTGCCACCCTAGTGCTGGGATTAAAGGCATACAATTCCAGGTGCTGGGATCACCATTGTATGAGCTCCATTTCTGTATTGCACAGATTACATCTCTTGTATCCCAGTGTAGCATTGCACTCACAGAGATCTGTCCACCTCTGTCTTACTAGTGCTGTATTTACAGGTGTGTGCCACCATTGTCTGACGTCTATGGTTATCTAGTGACTTAGTTCTGCACTCTGGTTTTCAGGAAGCTTTATTTGTTAGATCACAAATAAAATATCACTACACCTCCAAAAGCTATGTTTTCATAAAACTGAACAATCTGCAAACTTCTAATTCAGCCATGTATTACTGTGCCAGAGACACAGTGAGAGAACTCCAGTGTCAGCTTAGACAGAAACCTCTCTACTCAGAGCAGCAAGGGATGCTGAGGACCAATGGGAACTCTCAATACCAGAGGTGGTGACTTCAGGAACTAGGAAGTTCAGGAATATGCTTCATTTATACCTGTTTGGTGCCATAAGCTTTGATTTTTCTTCTTTTACACAAAGAAATCCACTAGAGTACACTTTACTTGTCATAGCCTATTAATCTTGCATTGTAATTACAAACTAATCATCTGTGTTACCCCACAGTCCTTTAGGATGGATAATTGCTTCTTGTTAGACAAAATAGCACATTAATTTTATATATTCAATATATACACTTCATCATATATACTTGTGTTTATAAAAATACATACATGTATACATTATATATACATATATATAAATATAAATCAGGAGTATGAAATTACAAAAGCTGTTGATTGTCAATTTTGTAATACAGTTTAGAAATTTTGAATAATCTTTCATTCATCCTCTCTATTTTTAAACTTGTTATAGAGAAACCACAACTGTCCTGAGTTGATGTTAATTTCCAAAGTTACTTTAGAAAATGAACCATCACAGTCTTTTTTTTACTTTTAAACTAATAGAACCTTATAAAAGTGTACAGTTATTATAAGTGTTGTAAAATTCTATTTTTGAACATTAGCATTTTGGTAATAATTAGCTTGTACTTTGAAATTCAAGCAAATGATTCCTCTATAGGCATATTTTGCAACTCAGACCACAAATTTCTCAGCCATAACAGACATCAGCTCCAGTTTCTGATTCATCTCTCTTCCGTCCTTCCCATAGATAACAGAGTTATATGATTTTCACAGTCTGTGCTTTTGTTGATGTTTTGTTGCTCCCAGAATTACTACTCTGCAGTCTCTGTTGTTGGTGACATAAAGAGTGGGTGTCTCATGTGTGAGCTAGAGAAGTGTCTTCAGAGGAGCCATGTTGGCTGTGGGTTTAATGTTAATGGATCATAGACTTGGGGCAGGTTTATAAAGAAAATGAGAATCTTTTCACCTGAGGCTGAGGGTTTTCCTAAAATTGAAGCAGTGACACCAACACTGTGTGATGAAGCTTCAGAGACCACAGTGACTGCATGGTTAGAATCCTGACAGCAGAAACACATAACCGTGGATCGAATAACTCCACACTATATTGAACTCAAAGTTTCATTGTCATATTTTCCATGGTCAGTGTGAGGATCAGCTCGCATCTCTGCTCCTGAAATGGATTAATAGGGTATAATTTTAATGAGTTTGTTGGACCTAAAATATATCAGAACCAATACCTCTATTCTAATTCCAGGTTTTTACTTTTGACAAACATTATCCATAACTTTTTGTGTAGAGCCTACCAATATGAATTAAAAGACTCCACATATTCACATTAAGGTAAATAAATTATTAAACAAATAGACACAGGTAAAATTTTCCTCTGGAGTAGAAAAAAGTAACAATTGTTTATAGAAATGTCCTTGATTTCCTCTTCTCTTCAGTATGTCCTCTGATTCGTTATAGATAATTTTCAAGACAAGAGGACACCTAGATGATACATCCGTATAATCTAACACCAGAATTAACTGTTCCTGCAGCATGAGCCATGAAAGGGTGGGGAAAGAATGATATGCTTTTCCTATAATTCTGATTGGTGATGGGATATTGTTACCTTAGAGCAAAGTAACAGCTAACCAAATGTGAAAAGATATTTTACAAATCATGTATACGATTATCTGCAAATAGATTTTTACGCATAATTGAAGGACCCCATCAGTTCTTAGCTGGATGGGAAGATGGTCCCAGATAAAGTTGCCTACCAAGTTATTTGATATTTACCAATATTCCTTAATCATTTGCTTTCTGGATTTTTGTTTTAAGCTTCAGCTATACAGCTTTTACTAATTTTCTTTATTCCTTCTGTTTATGATCACTACGTGCAATGTTTTCCACCCTCCTACATCTTCCAAGCATGGGTCCCTAACAACATTATACGTACTTAATAACTGTTAGTGAAGCTCATATCTGCATGTATATGAACTCAAGCACTGCAACCTAAGATACATACCAGTAACCATACCCTCAAAAAAGAGTGACTATATCTCTTAGCCAGGAAAAATATATTTCCAACTGCTCCTCAGTAAAAAGTAAGACCAAGGAATTTCAGCCCCATCTGTACCAGGGTTTTGGCTGACTTGTCCCTATTTGGGTTATCCAGGCAATATGGGTCCGTAATTGTTATATCCATGTCATGTCCAGAAGACAGCATTTCACAGCATCCCTCCCTGTGCTCCATGCACATCCCCTTCATCAGTGTTTTTGAGCCTTGGAGGAATTTGAATGATACTGGAAATCTTATATCACACAACATATTGAACACTGGGGAGGACAGTTTCTGCCTTATAGAGAATCCAGACTGTGTTTGAGACTCCGTGTGTTTGGTGTTCCAGCTTATGATGTGTAGACTTGGAACTAGAATGGGAGTCGAGACAGGAAAAGACATCTTAAGGGAAGGACAGCAGGGAAAAACACAGGGGTAACACAATGGTTTTTAAAGAACAAAGTTGGTTGTAGTGAGAAAAAGGGACTGAGTGAGTAGAAAGCAAAGCATGAGAGTTTGGGATAATAAAAGCAAAGCCGTCTGAAAATACAAAATTGATGCAAAAGTTTTGTGTTTGGTTATAGACACTTCTTAAATGTTCCCATTATGATGAAAATATAGATATATAGAAATAAAAGTGACCCAAGACAACATGAAGCCAGCCTTGTGTTGCCTGGTATTGAGTTGCGAAAGGCAGAGTGCAGGAACAAATTGATCATAGGGAGAACTTCAAATGCAAACAACTAAGTGCTGCAAATACAAATACAGTCGCTGAGAGGAAGACAGACAGCAACAAGGAATGTATCATTTACTAAAGCCCATAGAGCTTTTGATAGCACCTCTCAGAACTGAGTTGAATTAAAAAAAGTTTCAAGTGTTCCTGTCAGGATTCACCTCAGGAAGAAGCCATGTCCAGCAGAGGCAGAGGGTCCAACAGAACTAATATCTGGAATCACAACTATGTATGGAGCTTTTCTATTTCACATTGACACAAAAGAGACATGATGGTGTGCAAACACAACATTTTCTATGCATATTGTGAAAATAAAATGTGGTGAATCTGTAGCAAGGATATTAAGTCTACAGAGCTACATTAATGCTTCATATTCTATAACTGTCATCAGTGTATATGATGTCTTGTATCTGCTCTGAGTACTGCCTTCTGCTCAGGCCCAACTACAGAGCCTGTTATGGCAGGAAGATATGAAAATAAGGCTTCTTTTGCCCATAAAAACCAGCCCTGTCTTGACTCTTCAGCTCTGGCAGAGAAGACCAGCCTAGGTTAACAAGTCCTCCCAGTCAGTGGTCAGCACAGAACACAGGCCACTCACCATGGACTTTAGGCTCATAATGGTTTTCTTTGTCCTTATTTTAAAAGGTAATTCATAAATTTGAGATGCTGTGTGTTGTGTGTACGTGGGAAAGAGAAAAACTTCTTCTATGTCAGTTTTCTAATCATATATCTTTGTGTTTACAGTTATCCAGTGTGAAGTGCAGTTGTCGGAGTCTGGCAGAGGCTTAGTGCAACCAGGAAAGTCCATGAAACTCTTCTGTGCAGCCTCTGGATTCTCGTTCAGTAGTACAGCAATGGGCTGGGTCCGCCAGGCTCCTGGGAAGGGGCTGGAGTGGGTCGCAACCATTATTTATGATGGTACTATCACCTACTATACAAACGCTGTGAAGGGCCGGTTCACAATCTCCAGAGACAATGCCAAGAACACTCTGTACCTGGAAATGAGCAGTTTGAGATCTGAAGACACGGGCATATATTACTGTACAAGAGACACAGTGAGTGAATGTTACTGTGGACTCAGACAAAAACACACCTGTGGAGAACCCAGAACCAGCAGAGGGCGCCAAGAGCACTCACAGAAAAGCCTGCACAGAGAAACATGAAAGACTGAATTTCTTTGTGTCTGCACTGCCTCTCCATATCACACTTAGGGATTTTCTCTACAGATATAGTGTGTAGTGGTCCTTGAATGTTCAATTGTTTATTCGAATTCCTGTTTTCTGTTGTGTTGAGTGTGCTGATTTATTATAGTGTTTCTCCCTGTTACCCTTTATCTCTCTGTCTACCTGTCTTTGTCTCAATCTCTCTCACTCTCACTCTTTCTCTCTCACTGCTCTCCGTGTGTGTGTGTGTGTGTGTGTGTGTGTGTGTGTGTGTGTGTGTGTTGACATATGAAGCATTTCTCTAACAATCTGCAACACTTGTTTTGAGACAATTTCTATCTGTGGGCCTGGATCTCAACAACTGAATTGTTTGGTTGTCAGTTATTTCTGGTGATTGTTCAGTCTCCACATTCCTTATATAGTATACCTGGTTTATTTTGCTGCAACACAATTTTCTTCCTTCCTTCCTTCCTTCCTTCCTTCCTTCTTTTCTTTCTTCTCTTCTTTCCTTCCTTCCTTCCATTCTTTCTTTTACTTTCTTTTTTTTGTTATGAATTCTGAGTCCTATGTTTAGAACCAACTGAAGAGTTCTTGTGTGTCAAAAACTTGATTTTCACAGCCCTGTTAAAGTTTCATTTTAAATATAGGATGTCCTTTACCTGAACAAAATGCAGATCATCATACTAAGCTAGAATGATCCTGTCTTTTGACCTGCATCAGTTTCTGAAGAAGCCAAAGAAGATTGAAACCCTAGATGACACAGGCAACTCAGAACCACATGTGAGTCTAGAGGACTCTATGCCACCTGTTTGTCTCCATGAGCACTGTACTACCCACACAGAAGTAAATGCCCCTAATGAAAACAGTGTATTTTTAAAAAGTTCTCATCCAATTCTGTGATTTAGCCCAATGGTCTAGTTCTTGTGTAGTTTATATGAGATCTTGATTCAAATGGTAATTTGAGGTTTTAACAACAGTATTTATTTTTCAATATGAGAAGCCCCATCTCTTTCTCAGCAGAGCATGACAGTCCTGATGCTACTCCTCTGTCTCATGACTTTTCCAACCTGGAAGTCATTCAGGGTTTAAGGAGAGAGACCCAGGTACACCATTTATGAATGACTGATGATGATGTTGCTTGTCCCCAGGTGTACTGTCCCAGGTTCAGGTAAAGGAGTCAGGACCTGACGTGGTTCAGCCATAACAGACCCAGAACCTGTCTCTCACCTGCACTGTCCCTGTGTTCTCATTAACGAGCTGTCACATACACTGAGTCCATCAGACTCCAAGATAGGGTCTAGAGTTAATGGAAATAATATGGTATAATGAAAACACTGCTTATAATTCAGTTCTCAAATCCTAAGTAACCATCAGCAGAGATACCTCCTAGTGCCCAGTTTCCTTAAAAGTGAACAATCTGAAAACAGGGGGCACAACCATATGTTATTCTACCAGAGACACAGTGATGGAACTCTTGTGTGAACCTGTACAAAACCTTCCTACAGAGACTTTGGGATGAACAAGTGGTACTAAGGGCCAATAGAGACTCCCCAGCACTAGCACAAATCATTTCAGATGCTGAATCAAAGGAGTTGCACAAGCCCAGGAAGGGATGTCTTCTCTGTTTCTTGGCTTGCTATGTGCATCAAAGTCGTGTTTCTCATTGCACTATTCTAGAATTTAGTCTGTACTAATCTTTAATACATCTGAATATTTTTGAAATCCGATTTTCTACTGTAATATTTATTTTTCGATATAATTTGCAATCTCATCTGAACAAGATAGATAACATCACACAGGGCAGATTAGTTGTGTTGTATGTACAAGGATCAATCATGAAGATACTCAGGGATCATTGGAAGTTGGTTCCCTAGATTCACAACTGAGCTCCAGTTAATTCTCCAGTTAGAGCAGAATTTAGGATTTCAGTAAGAGCCAAAAGTTCATGTAGGAATACCTTGGTATTTAAACTTGATTTCCTCCACTCCCTCCATCATCCTCACATAAAACATGAACATTAATTTTATCAATGATCCTGGCTATGCTCTGGTACTTAGACCATGGAAGTAATGCATGATACAGCAGCTGAGGTTCAGGAGCCTGTCGGAGGTTTCTAGCTAACACACTGCTTAAGGTGTCCCTGAGTCTCACGTCCCTTTCCGAAAATGCTATCAAATCAAAATGTCATTTGTAGATCTTAGAATCTATTCTGATCTTCTAAGATTGCTAGTGAGTAATCAATTTGTTTTTGGCTAAAATAAAATACCCTACCTCTACCTTAAAACCCAAGGTATTTAAACACCATTTAAAAGTTTACAGAATTTTAATTTCATCATGTAGATACATTTCTCTCTCCATTGTTTCCTCCACAGAGTTCTTACTTACACAGATCACTTGCAAGTAAGTTTTGTGGCCTCTGCAGCAATATTGGAGTCATTGATCCTTGATCTGAATATCAGATGCTGCTGTGGGACAATGGTCTGTATCTTGTCAATTATATTTTAAATAAATGGTTATTGACCAGTAGCCAGGAAGGAAGTATAGGCAGGATAACCAGACAGGAAATAGAGGTGAATCAATGAGAACAGGAAAATTCTGGGAAGAAGGAAGTCCTAGTCTGCAGTCATGACCCAGCCAGATAAAAAGCAAGATGTGACTGCGTCACCAAATAAGGAAACAAATGTTGGGACTAACAGAGAAATGAAATGAACAATGGATTAATATAAGTTATAAGAGTTAATATGAAGTTTGAGCTAATAGAGCAATCAGTTTATACTTAATGTAGACCTTTGTGTAATTCCTTTGGTACTTAAAAACCTCGGGAACTTGGCATGACAGAAAACCTCAGACATCAGAATGGTGCTCAACAGGTGGACAAATGCATCCACATAAAGCCTGAGAGAGCTTGGTAAGGAATTCTAGACATAAAATAATAATAGTCAAGCATGGCTTATTGATAGCAGCACTTTCTTGGGTGGGCTTTGCTTTCTAGAGGCAAGAACTCTCATTTAAGAGAGATTTCCTGACTCACATTTAGCTGTAAAACCTTGCAGCTGTTTTAAGAAGTCCTGCCACGAAATACTTAAATGATTTTGATGAAAAGTTGACCGCATGCTTTTTGATTTTCAGCCATACATAGCAGGAAAAAGCCCACACCATTTTAAATTGCTGGCTTTCTGGTCCGTCCTGCTAGTGCTAACTCTGACTCTTTCAGATAGGAGGTTCATCTACAGAGCATTTGAGTGTAATTTTTGAGCACACTTCTGCAGTTTGCTTGCTGGCAAGGACCTTAAAACACCATAGAGTTGTGGCATTAAACATGGCTACAGCCAGTACCTCTGCTATGAGGCTGGAATCTCAGAAAGCTAAGGAATGGTCTGGATCTAGCCATCAAAACCACAGCCTTAATCCTCTCCATATTGCTTCACAAATTAAAGATTCATGAGGTCAGAAAAAGAGAGATATACAGTAAAGATAGATTCAAAGACAAGACATCTAAATAGCTTACAGTGTGTTTAAAAATATATGCAGGCTTGGGAGAGAAAAGAAAAAAGTTAAAGTCCTTAAAATAAAAAAGAAAGAAAGAGAGTTGTTGGGTGTGGTGATACACACCTTTAATCCCTATGCCTGAAAGACAGAGGTAGACAGATCTCTCTGAGTTCAAGGTGTGGAAGCACACAACATTAATCCCAGCACTGGGGAGGTAGAGACAAGAAGATCTCTGTAATTTCAAAGATAGCCTGGTCTCCAGAGAAGTTCCAGGACAAAGATATTCAGAAACCCTGTCTCAAAAAGCCAAAAATTAAAAGTAAAAGAAATAGAATTTAAAATGTAGCCTCCTAAAGATGGAAAGCATACAGAGAATCTGGATACTGTTTGTTATTATGCTCTCTTTGAATCATTTGAATGCTGAGGAAGAAGCAACAGGTGCTAAAAGATATTTGCTTATAAATGCGGCTGACTTATCCAAGATAGATATTTTGAAAATACCTTAACTTCAAAATTGAATTCAGAAGATATGCTAATTTGGAGAAGAGATTTTGCTTTTGTTTCCACAGGAAATGAGAGGCTGTGGATGAATTCTGAGTTAAGAAAAATCAGGTTTGATCAAGGAAGAACACCTGAGAAATCTCCAGTAGGAACAGATGGCCCAGATCTTCTCTACATCCAGAAGCGATTCAAGATGCTGCCTGAGATGATCAAGTCTCACAGGATACTCCAGTCAGGACTTGATAATACTCTAAATTTTCTTTATGTCCCCATAAGATTATCAGCACTCCTAACCATCTGGAATTATCCTGGAATACTACAATCACATTCCCAAAAAATGGACTATGGATAATTTCCTTAGTTTAAAAAAAAGAGGGGAAGTGGTCCAGGAGAATTTTCTGTATTCTGTCAATCATAATTTAAATAAATGCTGTTTGCCCAGTATTAAGGCAGGAAGTATAGACGGGACAACCAGACAGGAAATAGAGGCAGGGCAATGATTACAGGAGTATTCTGGGAAGAAGGAAGCACTTCTGCAGTCATGTTCAGACACCCAGGAAGCAGGATGTTACCTGCCCCACTGAAAAAGTTACTGAGCCATGTGGCTAACACAAACAAGAATAATTGGTTAATATAAGGTATAGGAGTTAATAAGAAGCGTAAGCTAATGGGCCAATCAGTTTACAACTTATGGAAAACTCTGTGTGATTTTCTTAGGGATTTACCGGCTATTGGAACTGGGCAGGACAGTAACCTCCAACAAGTACTCCCATCATGTTACACACAGGTACAAGATATAATAAGTAATAGGTTTTGTGCCATACACATAACACAACCCAATTTCATACAGATCTTCCAGGTCTTCTAGCACAAGGTAATGAAGAAATTAATCAATTATTAATTGGATGCATGTTGAAGGTCTCAGAATTCCATAAGAAACATCATGCCAACAGCAAATGTTTAAAGAAAGAGTTTTCTATTACATGGCAACAAGCTAAGAAGATTATAAAGAGATGTCCTACTTGCTCTTTCTATAACCAAGCACCTCTACCTGCAGAGACTAACACAAAGGGTGCTCAAAAGGATGAGATCTGGCAGATGAATGTGTTTCACTTTGCAGAATTTGGGAAATTAAAATATGTACACCATACCATTGACACTTATTCAGATTTTCAGTGAGCAACTGCTTTGAGCTCAGAAAAGGTTGATTCAGTAATCACACATTTATTAAAAAGTTATGGCCAACATGGATATACCTGCACAAATTAAGACAGGTAATCGTCCAGGATATGTCGCTAAGAAAATGAAACAGTTTTGCTTATTATAATATAGAGCATATTACAGGTATAATACATAATCCTACAGGTCAGACAGTTGTAGAAAAATTAAATCGAACTATAAAGAATATGTTAAACAAACAGAAAAGGTGGAAAATACCCCCGGAATAGATTGCATAATGCTTTATTTATATTGAATTTTCTTAACGCTAATGAGAAAGGAACAACAGCAGCAGAGACACGTTGGTTAATAAGAAAGTCTTCTGATTTAAAACAGCCAGTGTATTTCAAGGATGTGTTGACATCACAATGGAAACCAGGTGATGTGCTGTGTTGGGGAAGGGGTTTTGCTCTTGTTTCCACAGGAGAAGAAAAACTGTGCATACCATAAAAATTAATTAAGATTCAGTTTAAAAAAGAGAAACCTATTGAAAAAGAGAAATGGCAGCTCATCCACAGGGGTGAGAGTCATACAGGTGGTAAGAAAACTTTATAAGGTTTGGGGAAGAATTCTGCTCTTGTCTTTACAGGAAAATACACATCTTCAAAAATTAAAAAGACCCTGGATGTTTGGATGCTGACAGAAAAAAAAAAAAACTATCCAATAAGGATCACTGAGAAAAGGAATATGACTAGTAAGGACAAATAATCAAAACACATACATTTAAAGATAGATAGATAGATAGATAGATAGATAGATAGATAGATAGATAGATAGATAGAGCAAGCTGGTTTTGGAGTTGGACAATGGCTCTGTTCTTCTCTAAGTCCAATCAAGTTAATAAAATAAAAATTAAGTGTTTCTGTCTCACCTCAAGAACCATCTGGTAAGGGACAGAAAGTAGAAAGAGTTTAGAAAAAGTTTTACATTTTTTCATACCTATTTTTGTCTCTATCTTCGAATATGTATGTCTGTATATGTCTATTGTTTAAATTTTCCACAATGAGCAATGAATTTTCTTGCAGTAATCTTTGAAGTTTTTTGGAAGAAAGTGGGGCCACTCAACTCCACCTGGTTGATATGATGTCATGATGCTGATAGTACTACTATAAGACCTGTTTTTTTTTTTTAACACTGTTCTGTCCAGAACTTCAAATAAGAACCTCAGAAAAACCCTACTGAGAACTCGGAGATTATTTGGAATTATACCAGACAGTAATCTTGGAACTAATTCATCATTTTACTTTAACAAGATCCTATAGAAAGAACATCACCTCTATGACAGCTGGAAGTAATTCCAGAAGAAAACATTCCCTTTCCCAACAAAGTTTGTTCTCATAGTTAGGAACATCATTTAGCAGTTGATTATAAATAGAGTAGAATTTGGGGTTGGGGAAAACATTCTGTAGGCTAAGGGATCTCTTTGAAAAAAAGGGAGGAAATTAAATGGGATAATAGATTAGTGTGAGATTACTCACACTAATAATAATAGTGAGTAATAGAGTTAATACTTAAAATCTATTATTTGTAGCCAAATTACATTGGTATAGATTCTTGTATATTAATACAAACTTAAATTATATTCAATATGTTCCTATTTTCATCTGTAATATTTGTATATCTAGGCAAATTTGTTTTGTCATATTGTATGCATGCATGGTTCTACATCTGCTTAAAACATTTTTGTATGTTGATACAATTTTAGGATAAATTTATCATATTATAATGTTCATTTCAATCTCTGATCAAGATACTATTATACATTGCTTACATTGTGCAAGGAGCTTTTAAATTTCACATTGATCCTAAAGAGTCATGACAGTGTGGAAACACAACATTTTTTCATGCATATGGTGAAAAGGGAACTAAATACAGTGTAGTGAATTTCTAACAAGGAAAATGTGTACACAGCGGTACATTAATCCTTCAATTTCTGTAACTGTCTTCAGTGTGTATGATGTCTTATATCTGAGCTGAGTAATGTCTTCTGCACAGGTCAAACTACAGAGCCTGTTATGTGAGGAAGATATGCAAATAAGTCATCTTTGTGCCCATAAAATCCAGCCCTGCCCTGACCCTACATCTTTGGCACAGGAGACAAGCCCGAATTTCCAAGTTCTCCCAATCAGGGTTCAGCATTGAACACAGGACACTCACCATGGATTTAGGGCTAATATTGGTTTCCTTTGTCCTTATTATAAAAGGTAATTCATAAAGATGAGATGCTGTGTGTTGTGTGGACATGAGAAAGAGAAAAAAATGTCTTCTGTGTTAGTTTTCTGAAAAGAATTCTTTGTGTTTGCAGGTGTACAGTGTGAGGTGCAATTGCTGGAGTCTGGCGGAAGCTTAGTGCAGCCTGGAAAGTCCCTGAAACTCTCCTGTGCAGCCTCTGGATTCACCTTTGGTGATTATAACATGAACTGGGTCCGCCAGACTCCAGGGAAGGGGCTGGAGTGGGTCGCATACATTAGTTATGGTGGTAGTAGCACCTACTATACCAACGCTGTGAAGGGCCGGTTCACAATCTCCAGAGACAATGCCAAGAACACTCTGTACCTGGAAATGAACAGTCTGAGGTCTGAAGACACAGCCATGTATTACTGTGCAAGAGACACAGTGAGTGAATGCTACTGTGAGCTCAGACAAAATCACCGCTGTGGGGAACACGGGACCAGCAGGGGGCGCTGAGAGCACATAGAGATCTGGGTCACAGAAGAGCCTGCTTAGAGAATCCTGGAAGATTGGACTTCTCTGTGTCTGCACTGCCTCTCCATATCACACTTAGGGATTTTCTCTACAGCTATAGTGTGCAGTAATTCTTGAATGTCCACATTATTATTTAAATTTCTGGTTCCAGTTGTGTTGTGTGTGTTTATTTATTACAGTGTTTCTCCTTGTTTCCCTTTATCCCTCTCTGTCTCCCTATCTCTGTCTGTGTCACAGTCTCTATCACTCTCCCTCTTTCTCTCTCAATCTTTCTTCTGAGTCAGAAGGTTAACAGATAGCTTTGGGAACCCAGAATTGAGAGGTGATGTCCTCATGAGCACACAGTGTTCTGCCCTCCATCCTCTGTTTGGGATGATTCACCTTGACCAGTGAAAGTGGACAAAAGAGGTTGCTTAAAGCTGTCATTTTTAAAATCACAGAAATGGATCTTAAACCCAAAATAATTTGTTGCCTGTAACTAATGATATGAGTGCCATTTACCAAAGAAAGATTGAGACCATATTATGGGAATGGATGAAAAGGGGTGCCTGTGCTGTAGAAATGGCAATGTGGTCCTACTAAGACGTTATAAAACTGGGGGCTTACTCAAAGAATTACACAAGATGATGTGACTCCGCAATCTCGCTTCTTGGTAAGCATAAAAAGAAGCAGAGTTGGTATAGGAAGACAGAAAAGGAGGGAGAAGAGAAAAGAAATGACATGTCAGTAGGAGAGGACAGAAGGTTCAAAGGAATGAAAGAGGAGAGAGGGTAGTGGAATGAATCAATGTAATCTCAGTACATTATTAATGAGCATGGCTATTTGTTTTTAAGTAGAATGAATGACAAAGGTGGGAAAAGAATATTTTCAAATATCATATAAAGTTTATATTCATGCATTCATGTGCATTTGTATGTATTTTTTGGGAGGGGGAAGGATTGTTTCCATTGCTGTATATCTGTCTGTGTGTATATGTCTGAGTATCTATGTGCTTGCTTCGGTGATGCATACTTTCGCATCATCTATAAATAGTTTACATTACAGAGATTACCATAACATCATCACCACAGAAACCTGCTCTGAGATCTGGTGAGCAGCAACACTGGGATTCAAGGTTTGACTTTAGGCTCTGGGCCTCCATTACCCTGAGCAATCCTCTGAAGACATTCCAGTTCCCATTCCTCCTTAAGGTTCCAGTGATTCCCAAAGCATCAAAGGCAGAAAACAGCTCAAGAGGACCTGTCTACGTCTTTTCAATGTGTGACAGACACTGTTACTCATAATTGCAGTCTGCTCTTATTTTTCTTTTCATTCAGGTGTGTGGTGTTGAACATAAGTAGTGAGATTCCAGGACAATCTGTGGTTCAACTACACAGTAGTCTTTAAAAGGTAATGGATTCCAGAATGAGAATAGGAGTCACCGTCTGAAGGTGCAGTTTCCATACTTCTCCTTATTATCTTCCTTCTATTTTCTTTGTTTGTTTGATAAATTTATGCTCAGTAAGTTTATCCTTTTTGGGTTTTTTGTTGTTGTTTTTGTGTATTTGAGATAGGGTTTCTCTTTAGCTTTGGAGCCTGTCCTGGAACTAGCTCTTGTACACCACACTGGCATCAAACTCACAGAGATCTGCCTGCCTCTGCCTCCGAAGTGCTGTGATTAAAGGAATGTGCCACCACTGCCTGTCCATAAATTGATTTTTTTTTATTTTAGGCCTTTTTATTTTAATAAATAACTTCAGTTAATAGCATTGTCAAAATTAAAAGGCACTTAAAACAAGGCTGTGACTAGGGTGAGAGCGAGCGCAGCAGGGCAGGCGTTCGGAAGGCGCAGTGGTTGACCTGCTGCTGGGGGGCCCTGCCCAGGCCCTGTAGCCCTGCAAGCAGCAGGACAGCTTAGAGTGTTTGTGAAGAAGGCAAATGAACAGCCAAGTAAACAAAAATGATAAAAAGTCTTAACCCCAAATTGCAAACAGACACATGAAAAGATTAGAGGAAGTGAAAAAAGAGCACCAGGAATTAAACAGAACAGTAAAGTAAAATAAACTCATATAAAGGTTCCTGTTCAGCAAATGCTATGAAAGTTATGGCCTTTATGTGAATAGTGCTAAGTCAGGGACTCTTTAGCTGAAAAGTTCCCAGGACTTTTATCCAAGCTTGGATTTATAAAGAGAAGGCGTCAGAGTTACGGGGGTCACAGTGTGCCTTTTTAACCCTTCCTCCCAGATCATTGGAATCAAGCTCTTACTGGATTCAGTGGCACTGCTGGGCAATGCAGGGCAGAGTTGGAGCAGCTGCATCACCCGCGTCTGCACCGCTACTGATTGCCAGCAGAGTGCAGGCTGGCTGCCGGCTGCTTTGGCCTGCTGCTGCCCACTGGGCATGCCCAGTGCTGCATCTGAAAGACGTGTGCTGGCAGTTTCCAGTTAAATCACTTTGACACAGTTGTTTTACAAAGGCCATTGGGAAAATTCAGAGAGGTGGAAGGAAGAACTTAGCTTTAAAACCTGTGTGCCATTCAGAGTTACTTGATCCTGTAACTCTGACGCCTTCTCTTCATAAATTGATTTTTACAGACTCACTTGTAACTGCTGAGTGTCAGGAAAGAATAATTTGTGGATACTGCTGTTTATTTTAGTAGTGCATAAATGCAGTCATCAAAAAATATTTCCTGTAGGAAAATGTGATGTTTTAAAAGATTAAGCAAGGCTTGTATCTCTGTGGTAGAGTGCTTTCTCACCATGTAAAATGTCTGAAGTTTATGAACCAAACTCACTTAAAAAAATGAATTAAGCCTTTAGAAAAATATCATTTCTTGCTTTCATGGTCTTAAATGAACCACTCTCATGGTTGGAAAATGAATGGATATCCCCAAAATAGGAAGTGCAGTTGGAAAGTTGTAGAGAGGGAACAAGTCTACAGGAGCTCATCTCTTGGGTTCCATATCAAGCAGTTCATTCAAGTTGTGCAACATCCATGACACAGGTCTAAATAAATACAAATTGTGAATCCCATGTGGGATAAAGACAACGTTTGGATGGCTGTAAATGCTAATTGACTAGACTGTGTGTGCATGGTACATGGTTTTCACACATATTTGGAGGCAAGAGTTAAATTTGCGTATGTTCATCAGTTGATTTTTATCTTATTTTTGAAGAAGGATATCACAGCGAATCCGGAGCACAAATATGCAGATAGAATCTTTGGATGGCAACACTTACAGTACCTCCAGTCACAAGGCCTCCAATGATGGGAATATAGGACAAATCATAACATTCAGCTTCTAAACAAAGAGTTATGAATCAAGCTAAGATACTAATACTGCGAAGCAGACACTATATCACTGAGTCAAATTTGAACCTTGAATTTTATCACTATACATTGATAAATGAAATGTAATCTGTCAAATCAAATATGTATATTATTTAATAATTTTTAATTAATACTATTTAATATTATTTTGATATTAATAGCTTATAAGAGAGAAAATTTATTGCCAATCTGGATTTTTAAAGCATTAACTGTCTATCTGGAAATGAATGCCTCATGTCCAAACCCATATATGTTCCCTTAAAACTCTGAATTTTTATGGAAATCTGGAATTGCAGAGATGGGCAGGATCTACAAAAGAAGAGAGGAAAGAAATAATTACCAGAATATATTGAATTGAAATTTTTCAAGAAAATAAGTTTATTAATTTTCGAAAACACTGCATTTAATGGTTGGGCATGGTGAAACAGTCTTAATCTATTCAGTAGGGAGACAGAAACAAAACTTTCTCTCATAGCTTGGTCTATAAAGAAAGTCCAGGTCACCTAGATGACCCTATCCAAAAAGAGGAAAGTCATCCCCTCTACCTGGATATGGGAGAGCGTTTTTGATCATGGGTGTGTAGGATGGGTATGAAACTGTATCTGTAAGTGGGACTCTCATTCTCTCTGTATGTGTCTCTGTCTGTATATGTTGGAATGTGTGGCTATATCTGGAAGGGTGACTCTGTGTATGGCTGAGGATGAAGTTGGACAGCCTGTCATGTCCCCTACTTCACTAATTTCATGAGAATAATTTTCAATTGTCCTACCTTGTAATCTTTAAATGTGATCGACACTATGAACAAAACCAACATGGGAATGAAAGGGTTTCTGTCATGTTAATACTCACAATACAACCTGAGAAAAATCAGGACACCTAAAGGTGGGAACTGAATCAGAGACTCTGATTTACCAGCTTGGTCTCCATGGTTGTTCCATCTGCTTTCTTTGGCAAACCAGGAAGACCTTCTCATGGATGGCATCTTCAACATCAGCATTAGCCCTCCCACATCAGTCATTAAACAAGAAAACAGCTCCCACAGTTTTGTCTGAAGACCAAAATGATGGAGGCATATTTTCCAGATGAGCTTCTTTCTTCCCTGATGACTATTTTGTATTATGTTGACAAAATTCTAAACACAACACAAAGGGAGAGACGGTTATTGTCATGAAAACATGGCCCATTAACTTCCTGAACATTATGATTAAGGAGAACACAGCACTCATAGTCTTGGTTCCCCATCAGTATTTGCAAGGATGACCGCCTTACCTATGCTAAGGTCTAGCTCCATCACTGCCACTCACAGTAAACGTATTATGCACAAGAAACTGAGGGACAGAAAATGTAGAGTACCCTTATATAGGAAATGGTGGATGTTTTCCAGGATCTGACAAGGCAAGTTGGTAACAGCCCGTCATTTTCCTTCCCTGGTGATTTATGTTACCAAGGCATGGGAGAAAGTCTGGAAGTCCATTGTCCTCTATGGTTATCCTCTCCAGAAGACAAACAGTTCCCACTGTTCATGGATGTCATCTTTCCATGTCTTGTCATCACTCTGCCTTCTTATTACTGCAGGTCACATAACCCTGAAGCCTGGCTAGATGATACTACTTTTCAGGGGTTTTATGAAGTGTTAACTTTCTCAACCCTCGACAATGGAATAATCATAAAACCTGGGTTCTTATGTGATACAACTTGAGG